CACAGATTGCGAGTCAAGTGCCCTAACCACCTGGCCATGCCGGGCCTAGTAGGATAGTGTATATCATTTTCTTTTAAGAAAAGAAGGGTATAAAATGTGGTCCAAAATTCACAAGATTTCTTAGTCAGTCCTTAACAAAAATTGTAACTGGTCCACTCCAAAAAAATACATATACATGTTAATTCCATTTTAACAAATGAAGATGTAAATATTTTAAAGAAAGACACAAATGCAAAAATGTATGTTCATATATGTGTAACATTAAACAAAACTCTAATTGGAAACAACAGTTTTTGATTATATCACTCTTGGAACGTAAACAATCTCTATATTAATCCAGATAAACAAACAAATAATGTGACTTGACATTAAAATTTTAATACTGAGCAAAAGGTAAGGTATTTCTCCATTGAAATGTTGATGTTTGTCACACTTCCTTTGGATCAATCTCACCATTCCCACTGACGAGGAGCCTACTTTTCATTTCAGGCATCACAGGGATTTTCCATAATGTTTAATAATAGGCCAGGGATCCCCAGAAGGCTTCATTTGAAAGATTGAAGTAAAGAATATACTTTCCTGAGGCAAAAACACAGCTCTGGTTTTAGGACAATGTAAGTTACAAAAAAAACATTTAAAATTCTAATTTGTTTGGATATTTCAGTCAGCCTATAAGCCTTCTAGATGGTTACAGCTGACTAAATGATGTGAATTTCAGCTGCTAGTATGAAATGATCTTAAGAAAGTTTACAAAATTATCCAAGGGATCAATAGGATAAAAACACCTGATACTTTGATGCTGTATTCTTAAGACAATAGGATGATAATATTCAAATTCAAGATTTGGAAAAAACAGAGTAGGCTCCAGTTAAGATAGTTTTATTTTTCTAACAGGGTGATTAGCTTATGGAATGAGCTGTCAGTGGCAGTAGTGGAGGCCAGCACCTCATAGGAACTAAGGAAGGGAATAGATGATTTCCTGAGAAATAAAAGGTGAGTATATATATTTTTACTTTTTCTCAGGGATTGGTGACAGCGAAATCTTAAAGGACAAGATGATTCCTTGTTGTTTGTAATGTTATGTTACACAGGAATGCCTGATAACATTTAACCAAACTACATACAGCTTTACTTTGTCCTAGACTTATCCATGGTATCAGATTTAAAAACATTTAAACTGTGAATCATTATATTAGCCCAGTTTTAAATATAGAATATACTTCAGTTATTTAAAATGTAACAATCTGCTTACTTCGCCTTTGAGAGCACTAGAAGCTTAACATTGGAGGTAAGAGTAAACCACTGCACTATATGACTTGTATTTTTAAGACTATACAGAAATCTCACCAATTCTCAATTTTTTTAGAGGTTCATCTATCATATATGAGATTAAATACAGACTCATTATTTCTTTTTTCATCAGATGATGATTGAAACACTAAATCTAGAAACATGCACATTGTTTTCCTTCTTAGTTTGATGATAATATCATATACAACTCATTTTTACACTGGATTATACTACTAAAATATACTTTAAAATAAATATGAGGCAACATATTTCTGAAGCAAGAAAATAAAGTTAACGTACATAAGGCCATCACAAGTGTGAATATGGCTATTCTTTAAAATGGTAGTAACTAGAGTGTTTACGATGCTGAGGCACAGAGGCATCACTAGGCACTAGCACACGAGGCCTGTGTCCCAAATCCCCTGTTGGTGTCTTGAAAAATCAGAATAGAAAACCATGATTGATATCATACTGAAATGCCAAACATTCCTGCATCTATTGACCAAAGCCCTGAATCTTTAAAGTACCTAGCAACACCTCTGTTCAGGCATGACCCACTTATGTCTCCTGAGACCCTTGTTTAATTATCCTTTTTTTATAACCAATGAAGTTTTTTTTATATAATATAATTTTTTTCTACTGTGTAGTGATAATCGTGCATTATAACAAGAAATCAAATTTGACTTCTTGTAATATAATAAATGCAAGGGTGAAAGTTTACAATAATCATTTTGACTGAAAGAAACCTATTGATCAAGGCTTTGTGGGCTTAGACATCCCCCAAAAGCTCTGGGGTTGTACATGTTCTCAGATACATTTTGAGCCTTTTTATGCAACTTTCAGAATCCAATTTTACCTTGACTTTGTAATAACAAAATTCAGGAATCACTTACAATTTGTCATGTTACCCAATAGACCAACCTGGTAATCATATGAAACTAATTACATTTTTCAAACTTTAATACTTAAACCTTTTACACATATGCCCAATTAACTTTTTAAAGCCTCAGCTGCATATGAAAAAACATATCATTGAATTAATAAGTTATGACCTTTTCCTTGTACATATTAAAATGGAAGTTTAGACCAATAAAGATTACAACAGTGCTGGCAATAAAATGCAAAATGCATTTGCTTCACTTAAATCATATTTTGTAATCATGCTTAGAAAAGGCCACTTTGATAGATTTCTGTCTACATTTGGAGAACTTTCACCCACACAAATGCTTAATACAACAGTAATGCAGGTGTTTTCAAGTATTTAACTTATAAAATAATATATATGACTCACCTCCATACTCTGGCAAGACACAATACTGTTAATGAAAGGATCTAAACTGTCAGGAAACAGTTTTGTCTTGTGTAGGTCCTGATCCTCAACGTCTTCAAGAAATTCCTCATCCTCTGTGCCAGAAAAGTCTGTTGATTTGCTACACAGTGGCTGAGCATTAAGCATTTCTTTTACCACATTACAGTAGGACCACTGGTTCCAAACTTTCACAGATGGCCTTGTCTTTATTATACACACAGATCTTACAGAAACTGATAGCCATGTATACAATCTTACATTTCGGATAAAAGTCAAGAGAGACATCACTTCTAAGCCGGTATCCTCTCACACACCAATCACTATTCAAGATAGCTGAATCAATTACATAGAATTGTATCTCATATGTAGGATCTCTTAGTCTAGCTGAAATTAAAAAAAATATCTCAATAGCTCATTTCAGAAAAGAATCGGCAATATTAATATACTTTATTAAACTGTACCTCAACTGTAGAAACCTTTAATCCCAATAAAACCACTACAGGCAATTATGTGTCTGTTACTCACATATTCAGTCAATTCTGTATTAATAATAACAACTGTTATAGTGAATGTCCTATCTGGATATGCCAGGCACAGTGTGGTTGAAATACTATTATATACTCTTCTTCAGAAAACCCTTCAGGGACTGAGTAAAGAATGTAGCTTTCAAAATATAATAGGCCTCATGCTGATGTCTTATAAAACGTACAATGAATTCTTTATTATTTTTGTTTTTATGTTAGAAGGAATAGTCAAAATAAACTTTCACAAAATATACAAGATAATTATCTGATGCACTCTAAAAGTTAATATTAGAAATTCTCGTAACAGCATACTGCAGTTTATTTTTAAATTTACATAGCATTACTAAATATGTACTGATATTAGGTAAAAAACACAAATTATTTTCTTTAAACTATCCCTTGGCACCAAAGGTTGTTAGATTGTAATTAAAATGTTGATTTTTTAATCACACAAGTTATATTTTTCATGTTATTAGTATCTACATAATAGTCAGAATGAAGAAATTAAAATAAGAACAGCTTGGTCTATTGGTTTTTTTGTTTTTTTACAAAAATAATATCATAGCAGAACTTTTAACAAGGATGAAAAAATTAGCCTTTACATTTTTTTTTATTTAGAAAGCTCATGGGTTCCTCATATCACAGAATTTATTTTAATGCTGAAACTATATAAATAAGAATTTTTCTGAAAGTTTTTTCTACTTCTATTTTGAATTATTGCTTTATTTAACTTTTTATCATGCAACCAATTTTTCTCACCACATGATCATTAAAAAGAAGGCTACACACATGTTAAAAATCACATCTAAACTTTTTATTTCTTAAGTTTGTGATATTCTTTGCTAACAAAACAGTTAAGCCACTAACAAATTTCTTTCAACTAAATGCATAAATATAACTTATATAATTAAAAGGGATACTGATACTATGTTTAATATAAACAAATTACCTTCAACTTTAATACCACCACTTAATCCTAGGTATACTGAGTATTGCTTGTCACAGATAATCGGCATGTTCATTCATATTTCTAAAACTCGGTAAAACTAAAACTTCTTTTTATTGTATAATTTACAAAACATGTGGTCCAAATTCCACTGGCATTGTTACTAAAATTCATTAACAAAAAATTAAATAACGACCAGAGTCTAGTACTACTAGTAGTAATAAGTACTACTGGTGGTAATAATACTAATAGTAGTAGTATTGTAATTTGAATTATAATAACCAGGATTTATTATATGAATAAAAACAGACTATTGTCGACTTCCGGCTTAACAATATACAAGAACCCACACTGGTCTGAAATAAAATTGGAGAAAGAGAGAGA